GAACCGATTCATCAGATCCATAAATACTGCTGACGCGTTGGTGAGCCCAAATGGCATCACCATGAACTCATAATGATCATAACGAGTTCGAAACACGGTCTTCTCCACGTCATCCTCTCTAACCTGAACCTAATGATACCCCGACCTCAAATTAATCTTGGAGAACCAAGATGCACCCTGTAACTGATCAAAGATGTCATTTATCCTCGGGAGTGGATAACGGTTCTTCACCGTCAACTTGTTCAACTCCCTATAATCAATGCACATTCAGTGCGATCCGTCCTTCTTACTGACGAAGAGGATCGGTGCTCCCCAAGGAGAATGCTTGCCCAACACTTCCTGCAGCTGTGATGAAAGCTTCTGCATATCTGGTGGCGCCAACCGGTACGACGCCTTGGAGATAGGGGCCACACCAGGCACCAGGTCGATCCGAAACTCGACCTGCCTCTCCGAAGGTATCCCTGGAAAATCCTCCGGAAACACATCTGCAAACTCCCTGACTACTAGAACCTCTGAAACTGAAATATGATCCCTGGCTCGCGTATCCACCACATACGCCAGAAAATCTACACACCCGTGCTGAATATACTGCCGATCCCTGGCAGATGAACAAAACCCTGATCCCATTCTGGTGCCCCTCACCATATACAATCAATTCTCCCCCACTTGGGGTTCTAACTACCACTCGTTGGCCCTCACAATCTATCATGGCACTAAATCGACTAAGTCAGTCCATCTCTACAATCAAGCATACTTCCCCCATGGGAATCGGAATCAAATCTATCGGAAAGGACACTCCGAAGAATTCCAACTTATATCCTCGGTAGACCGAAGAAGAAAAAACTTTGTGTTCATTGGCGATAGAGACTCACAACGAACACTTTAGCTCCCCTATTGCACACCGAACTCCCTATTAAATGTCTGAGATACGAAAGACCGACTCGCCCCCGAGTCAAATAGAATCAATGCAGACATTGAGTTCACTAAAAACATACCTAAACATAGGTACAAAAGATAAGCATAACACATATATATTAAATGAGATAAAGGATAGAAACATACCAGCAACCACATCCAGTGTTGCCCTAACCTCCTCGGCCGTAAGCTGGAAGGCACGACCCTGAGACTTCGGAGGCTTTTCCTTAACTGGCCTCCCATCCGCAATCCTCAGAGTAGTTGGCGCTGAAGTCTATGCCGACTTGGCGGCTAGAAGAGGACATTGGGCCTTCATATGGCCCACCTGCTCATAATGATAACAAAGTCTGTCTCCGGAAGCCGAAGTCTGCTGTCTGCAATCCCTGACCAAATGGCCTTGTTTGCGACATCGGTGGCACCCACTCTCTGATCGACACGTCCCTGAATGAGCTTTTCCTCACTTTCCACAAGTATGGTCTGGCTATCCCCCAATCCTGGTATCAGCGGTCTTAAACTACTTCAGTGCCGGCTGCGATTTCTGTAACTCTAGAAGAGTATCACATCGTTGGGTAGACACAAACTGTCGGATATCGGTCTTGAGCATGCTCAGATAACGAGTCATCTAAGCCTTCTCGGAAGCAAGCTCTGGGCAGGACATCGCCCTCCCAGTGAACATACGGGTGATCTCCGTCACCAACTCCCCATCCTGTCTCAAACTCAAAAACTCTTGAGCCAAACGTTACTGCTCAACCCGTGGAATGTATCGGGAGCAGAACATATCCCAGAACTGCTCCCAAGTAACCACAGCTCTCTGATCATCAGTGTATGTCACACCCCCGAACCGTCAGAAATAACGGCGGAAACGTCCGGGGGCGAGTGACGTCATGCATAATATCATAACAATCGTATCATAGCAATCAAAGCAACACAACCATTACATTACAATATCAATATTTACATATGTTTGAAAAACATAGTTTGTATATATCAAGAGTAGCAAAAGATAAAGATGAGACTCCAAATTGCTCCGTCTTCTCTAAAAGCTGGCAAAGGTACCTATCTATCGTTATCCTGAGAATACAAGCGGTTTTGAAAATGTATCAGCATAAAGCTGGTGAGTTCATAAGCATGTTTTTGTATGAGAAACTAGTCACTGAATTTGTACAAATGCTTTCTTTTCATTATAAGTAAAATGTCGTTTGTATCGAAACCCTGGTCAATCACCAGTAAGTAAAATGTATTACATTTGAAAGCCCTGGCTACAACCAGTAAGTGATGTGTGTTCCATTTGAAAACCCTGGTTACCACTAGTAAATGATGTATGTTTTGTTGAAAACCCTGGCTACCACCAGTAAATGATGTATGTTCTATTGAAAACCCTAGATACCACCAGTAATTGATGTATGTTCTGTTGAAAACCCTGACTATCACCAGTAAATGACGTATGTTCTGTTGAAAACCCTGGCTATCACCAGTACATGATGTATGTTCTGTTGAAAACCCTGGCTATCACCAGTTTGTAAGGTAGTTTTTTTTACTTAAAATAAAACCAAAGGCTGTGTCCCTGGAATACCCTCTAGTGTAGTATGTAGGTAGTATCTTTAATTAAAAAAAACTATTGAAGAAGGAAAATCCCGTAAACAAAGGTTAGTTATACTATTGTGAGTTCGTATAGCCATGCTAATGTGAGTGATGACCTCCGCGACGTTTCTTCAGGCGGCGTATTTTACAAAATTTGTCACCCTAGGCCTGACTGCCTAACTGTAGCTAACAGTTCAGGTATGGGATTGTCGATCCCGAATAGATCTATTCACAAATTTCACACTCTCCTTCAAGGAGACTCTAGCCATACTAAATGTAGAGGATTTTCTAGTACCTCGAAGGATACAATGAAGAGATGTCTCACAATCCTGTATTAACTAGTTCACGTGTTGTTCTGTTGTTCTCGTGTTCGAAAGCGTTTGTATACGATGTAGAGTATAAATAATTATAAGCAAAATAATTATTTAGTAATATACTCTTGTTATCTGAATGTAATATGGATAAACTAAATCTGCCATAGTTTATGTGTTTGAACCTGTAAAACCGGTAATGAATTTCCAAACTATACCTATTATAGTTTGAATGGCATGTTATGTTCATGTATGGTTCTGAAACTATGCAATTATGTTTAGAAAGCGTCCATTATGCTCCGCATATTACAAAAGGGATAAATTATCTAAAAGTTTGATGTAAAACCGTTGTAATTGCATCAATTTTTAACTTATGAAAACCTTTATGTTTGGCTTGTATTCCCCCTGAAAACGTTATAAAAACTTATAAAAGCGTAGGGGTATGAACTCACAGTTGGTTGGATGCAAAGGATTGAAATGGACGATCCTTGAGTTGCTGTACCTTACCCTTAACGGAATCCGAATATCACATAAGTACATATATGTATCTAAATTAGCGATTTCGTTAAATAAAGTGTTAGATAAACACTTGGTTTTGGTTAAGGAATGTTACCGGGACTTTGTTAGATCGAGGAAAATAGAATTTTCCCCACGAAAGAGCTGTTTACGTCCGTATATGGAGTTTACGGTCGTATATGGAGTTTATGGCCGTGAATAGATTTTACGGCCGAGGACCTGGTTTACAACAGTGAACAGGGTTTACGACCGTGAATTAAGTTTGCAGCTTTTGGAGATCTGGGGGTTTACGGCCGTAAACTCAAGAACAAGAGTGCTGGTTTTCGACTAAAAGGTGTTCCAAAGGCTCTCAAACGGCCCCAAATGATGATTTCCAGCGTTTTTCGGGTGAAAGGAGGGCTTGATGGAGTTTACGGTCAAGAGGTTTAGAGAGAGAAAGTGGGTGTTTCCGCCCAAGAAGGTTCAAATGAGGGTGGGGGTCCTGTATTTATAGGTCAGGGGTATGGTCAGTGGTAGGGTCCACCTGACACTGACCGTAAACAGAGTTTACGGTCGTACACGAGTTTACGGCCGTAAACTCGTTCGGGGCGTGAACTCGGTGTTTTTCGAGGAAATCGAAGGTTTTTCGCGCAATTTTTGGTTTTCCGGCTTGTATGAAATTATAACTATGACCTTAGTTAATTTACTTAAACCAAGAAGTTTGACGGAAAATTCAATAAAAATTTAATTTTATTAACGAAGGTGGGTTAAAATAACGGAAGAAATTTTGGTTTGTCATAATGTACGACCCTGTCATCAACCTCCACCAGCCCTTTGTTCCGGACCTAAGCAGGTTCAGAGCACACCTGACTCTCTGGTCAGTAGGACATGAGCAATAAAGAAACATCCCTCCACATCGGAAACCCACCTCATAGCCTTGATGGGGTCCTGAGTCCCATCAAAAGTAGGGGGCTTCGTGTTGTCGAAGTCCCTGTACTGGAAGCCCCGACCGACTCCTACTCCACCTCCTGCCGCTGTTACAGCTAATGCAGCTTCAGCGGCAACCGTCTCCGCAAGGGCTGCGTATCTGTCATCGAAGTACTCTATCATAACGGTCTTGATAGACCCAAACAACTCCGTGATCTGACCTCGGACAATCTCGATCACCTCCTCGCGGACCACCTCCTTGCAATAATAATAATAATAATAATAATAATAATGATAATAATAATAATAATAATAATAATAAAATCTCGTGGAGTCCTAACATTAATTTCTTCTTTATGGTCCCTATTTTTTTAAGAGTAAATTATTGAAATCGTCCCTATGGTTTGGTCAAAATTGCACGTTTGGTTACAATTTTTTTTTTTGCACTCGGATCGTCCCTGTGGTTTGATTTTGTTACGTTTTTCGTCCCTTATATACATAAAATTAGGGACCAAACGTGCAATTTTGACCAAACTATAGAGACGAAAAACGCAATAAAATCAAACAATAAGGACGATGCGAGTGCAAAAAAAAAAGAAATAGAGACCAAACGTGTAATTTTGATCAAACCATAAGAACAATTTCAGTAAATTAATAAAAACTAATGTTATGACTCCACCATATTATTTTATTATTATTATTATTATTATTGAAAAAAAAATGATATTTAATAACTCTAAAAACTCAGTTGGCTATTAATATTTAATATATGAATTATTTCATTTTTATTTTGGCATAAAGAAACGGTGTACTCAAAAAATCATCGTCTTTATCATCAGTCGACAATCAGAATTCAGAGATAGAAAGTAGTAGGAGGAGGATCAATGGTCTCTGCAGCTTCTCTCTCGATAATATCTTCTCCTTCATCACCATTTGAATCGCCTTATTTTAACAAACTTACTCGCAAAATCCCTAGAATTTCATCAACTAATCTTATCAAATTCCGCCCTATAACGCAATCCTTATCTATCGAAGAAGATGCCGGATCCCCCGACCGATTTCTAGAAAACAATTCGATTGCAGATTACATGAGGTTTAAGAAAGGGGCTTCCGGCGAATTACAAACCGCCGTCGTTAGTTACCGGAAGAAGTTCCCTTGGTCTCTTCTCCAACCCTTTCTTCAGGTTAATAATTACTTCAATTGTTTTCCTGCTCCTCGCGATTTGGTTTGTTTTCGTTGCTTTAATTTCGGATTTTGTTTTGATTTTCTTATAGGTTGATTTAGTTTCGACTATCCACATTGCAGACAAAGAGTAAGTTTTGCTACTACCCCCAAATTGAAACCAAAATTCGATCAAACAAGCTAGATATGGTAATTAATATGATAAAAATGCCATGAACAGGTACTTTGAAACCCTACAGGAAGAACTCGAGTCCTACGATTGCGTGCTTTACGAAATGGTAGCTAGTAGAGAAAGCTTAGAAAACCGAAAATACCCTTCAGCCATTAGAGAACTCACAAAATCAAAGTCTCGAGGTTTCAACATCATAGGGTTCATTCAACGCCAGATGGCTAGAGTTCTCATGCTTGATTTCCAATTAGATTGTCTCGATTACGAGCCTGATAACTGGTACCATGCTGATCTTGACTTTGAAACCTTCAAATTACTTCAGGTACACCACCATTCTCTTCTGCTTCCTACATAATCTCAATCAATTACAGTTAGTATTCAATGTTTTTGTTGTTTGATCGATTTCTAGATTGAAAAAGGTGAGAGCTTTTTTACATTTGCAAGAGATATGACACTCAGATCAACAAAAGCATTGGTGCAAGCAACTTCAATCCCTGAAGAACTTGGTCCATGGAGATCTAAACTATTATGGGCTTCTCGTGTTCTACCTATGCCTCTTGTTGGCCTTTTCTTCATCAGCAGTCTTTGTGCTGACGTGGGTGATGAGTCAGCTGATTATCCAGAAATAGAGGCGTTATCAAGGCTTGATTTTGGTGCTGCTATGAAGGTCTTTTTAGCCAAAAGATTAACATCCGAGTAAGTATATTATACATATATGTACTTTCTTTATTGCTATTCCTTACATTTTTACCCCTTTTTTGTGATCTTTATATATTCAGTTTCACACAAGTAGTAACATCAGATGTGGAGGAGAAATCGGTAATTATAGGCGAAAGAAACAGGGCAGCAACAGAAGCACTTCAAACAGCAATCAACAAAGGGCATAACAAAATTGCTATATTATATGGAGGTGGACACATGCCTGATTTAGGAAGGAGGTTAAAAGACGAATTTGACCTTGTCCCTTCTCGGGTCAAATGGGTAACAGCTTGGTCAATCAAGAACCGGAATCTTGCCAGCAATTCTCTACCTTTCTTGAAGAAAATGGCGGAAGTTTCCGGATGGAAATTAAATCGGTATCAAACTCTTGCATTGCTTATATTTTCATCTGTTCTTGCATTGGACTTGTGGTTTTGGGAACTCTTTTTTGGGACTACAGTTGACTTTGTTACACAAGTTGCTTCGGATGCTTTTCAGATTGTTAGTAGTTCTAATTTTTAAACTAATTGGATCAATGTTTATAAAGGATCGTGTATAATGTGAATAGTTTGAAGATTATTATATCATTTTTAGGGGATACAAATTGGGTTTATATATGTAGTACTTTATGTGAACTTAAGTTATAAGGACTCTGTTTATTTGTAAAAAGATGGGTACATAATTTAAAGTTATGTATGGTTGAAGTTGATATTATCAATAATTCCTTTGTAAAATTTGTTTAAAACAATCGAATTCTGCTAGCTTGCCCGACTTCATCATTCACAACCATAACTTCTTACAACATGCATAACACTTCCTTTAACAAGCTGCATAAATTAGAACATATAAAAACTTAGACATGTATAACATTTATAAAACCATAGGAACACATCTAACAAAGTTTGATCTCTTGACCTGTGAAACTTATATCGTATCACTACAATTCTAAATTGGAATTTTGTCGATTTTTCTTAAGTCAAATTGTAAAACATAGTTTATCTATATATTTTATAGTGCATTAAGATATTTTCTTTTCCTTGGGTTCCGGTTGATTGTACACATCGCATCCTCTCTATTGATCATTTTAAAATTTAATTATAGTTCGAGTCTGGAATCACACATGTATTCATCCAATTCTTTCAAACTAGGGTTTCGATACCAACTTATAACATTTCAAAAACCATGACAAAGTTTTACATTTTAATAAAACATTTTTATAAAACCACAAGATAATCAAATTGTTTTCAAATCAAATCTGTTGAAATTAGAGTATCAAACAATCTCTCAAAACATAAGTCAACAGGAAGATGTGTACAATCATGCATTCGTCTTGCCTCGATCATCAAAAATACCTAAAAATATTGAAATCAATAGTTGTAAGCAAAAACTTAATGAATTCCCTAAAAATACCCCACACAACAATAGGTATACAATTCATGCACATTGGGCCCACAATATAAAACTGAATTGCCCTCGGGCCTACAGTCATCGGACTGGATTACCCTTGGGCCCATAATATTTAGACTGGATTGCCCTTGGGCTTATAACACACAATTGGAGTGCCCTGTGATTGTTGGCCTATAGCATGCCTCAACCCAACCGTACTATGTCGACATATGCAAACGGATAAACACTAACCGGAATATAGGTAATCATACAGATCTACCAATCTAACAAATCACTACAATATACTAATTTCTTACACATGACACATACTATAGTACAAAGTATAGCGTGAAAACTCACCTCGCAGCCCAGTAGATAACGACACTAAACATAGATACAAAACCGACACTATATGTCACATATAAAACAACAGGGTCCAAAAACTCAAACTAGAGCCTAAAACCCTCAATTTAACCTAAAGTCAAACTTGGTCAAAAGTCAAGGTCATCACTCAAAGGTCTCTTCATTCACTCGCCACATCGTGACCATCCTTTGGTTACGTTGTGGCGGAGTGAGGACAAAATAATTGCGGATCAGACCATCGTCACGATGTGACAACCAACCCGTTACGTCATGAGGTCCGCTTTGGACAACTTAATGCTTTAAGCTCTTAATCCTTTTAACCAAGCAACCAAACTTTCCAGAAGGCTTTACCCATCTCAGAATACCATAAAAATCATTCCTTTTTAGCCATGCATTTCATAAACACCAACTAGGTCAAATTGAAATGAAAATGAGATCAAATCCCATGCATGGAACCCAAAGCTCATTAATATTCCGGATGTGGGACAAAAGGATACAAAGGAGTCACAAGAACTCATAAAGTTGCAAAGTTTATGAGTTTCTGTTAATGTATGGTCCATTAGCATAGTCCAGACGTCAAGACTTGGCGCGGCAATCTTGTTCGGCACTCGCATGTCAGCCTTGTCTAGCTCCCCCGTCAGGCGCTCGACTGGCAACCTCTGTACGTTCGCCTGGCGAGCCCGGAAGGTCTTACCCAACTCCTTGCTACTTGGGCCTGAGTTAGGCTGGCCCAAGGCCTGACCTAACTCTCCCTTGACCTAATTGTCCCATATAAATAGAATGTTTTCTCCTCCTTGAGGAGGCGGCTTCTAAGACGTGAAAACCCTAGAGCTTGCAACAAGCCTCTAGTCACCTTCTCTAACCTAATGCCTCCATGGCTAAACACACACCCTACACCCCTAAGATGGTTCTCTCTATCTAGGGAGAACCATCTCATATCTACCAACCGATCTAACTTGATCGTCAGAGCTTGCTCCTAGGAAATAGTCCCTGGGGAAACTATAACAACTTTGGTGTGACTGCAACTTAGGTATCTCACCGGAAACTCGTTAACGACATCACTTCCAGATCCCCGATCCGGACCCATCACAGAAGACTCGGCAACCTAAGCATATCTCATAATAGTTTCCAACACTTAAACTCCCTTAAGAGATGAGAAAGTGAACCAAACCCTACATCTAACATGCTTGAGCTAAAAAGTCAAGAACTTGAGGACTTACAAGAGTTCTAATGCATCTCAAGATGATGAGAGAGCAGCTTGGTAGCTGAGATGATGCACCAAATGCCATCACTTCTTCAAGGCTTAACATCACCAAAAAGGAGCTTAAAAATCAACAATGGGGGATTAGGGTTTTCTTGAGGGTGAAGGAAGGTGATGGAGGATGAGGATATGCAAACCCTAGCCCCTCACTTCCCTTAAATAGGGGCTCAACCCCAAAATTAGGGGTTTTCACGCAAAGGCTATCACATCGTGACCAACATATGTGTCACATCGTGAAAGCCAATGAGATGCCCGTTCCTCACCGGGTACCATCATGTCGTGACACATATGTGCTCACATTGTGGCCAAGGCTTTCATCCTTAAAACTTAAATAAATATTCAGAAGTGATGCTTACCTAGAACTGCGTGTTACAATTATCCCCAACTTGAACTAGATTTCCTCTCAGAAATCCTCAGCTGCAAATAGATTTGGGTAGTGCTCACGCATCTTTGACTCGAGCTCCCAAGTTTACTTGAAAGCCTTATGATGCTACCATTGAATCTTAACTAAAGGTACCACCTTGTTGCGCAAGGCCTTCATATTCCCATCCAGAATAGCCATCGGCCTCTCCACATAATTCAAGCGCTCATCGACATACATGTCATCTAACAGGATCACCTCTGTGCCATCAACCAAGCACTTCCAAAGCTAAGATACATGGAAGGTGCTATAAATTTGTCTAAGCTCCTCATCCAATCGGTAGGCTACCTTGCCTACCTTGGCCACTACCCAATAGGTTCGATAAATCGGGGGCCCAACTTTCCCTGCTTCATAAAGTGTATAACACCCTTCCAGGGTGATACCTTCAGTAGAACCATATCCCTAACCTGAAAATCCAACTTAGATCGTCGCCTATCAACGTAACTCTTCTATCGACCTTGTGGTGTCTGTAACCTCTGCATGATCTACTGAATATGTTTCGTCTTCTGGAGCACCACCTCAGTCTTTCCCGTGACCTTATGGCTTCTCCCCAAAAAACTGGTGTACGACATTTCCTCCATATTGAATCTCATATGGAGGTGCGCCGATGCTGGAATGATAACTGTTGCTGTAAGAAAACATAGCTAGAGGGAGGTAAGAGTCCCAAATCCCAGCGAAATCGATGACATAAGCCCTCAACATATCCTCGAGCATCTGAATAGTCCGCTCACTCTGACTATCAGTCTGAGGGTGGTAAGCAATGCTAAAGTGTAGTCTCATACCTAAATCCTCATGAAACCTCTACCAAAACCGAGAAGTGAAACATACATCATGACCGGATACGATGAAGACCGATACACCGTGACAAGCAACGATCTTGCGCACATACACGTCAGCCAATTTCTCGGCCGAAGTGTAACAACGTAAATTTTCAAGCCAAAATTTTCATTTTTAATTTCATAAAACATATGTCATTTTAAATAAACACCATTTAATACTCAACAAAGTTTTCAAAGCATTATCAAAATCCAGGATCCTCATTTACAACTCTTTTCTCTTTGCGTGTACAATCGAGCCACCGCCTTCCCGCGATCCTGATAAGAACCTGAAACACATAACACATAACATGGTAAGCACAAAGCTTAGTGAGTTCCCCCAAAATACCACATACAACACATATTAGCCACTCGAGACTATAACTATGTATGATCCTCTGGTTAATGTGTCTCAGTGGGACCCTCTAGTCCCATAACTCTATGGACCCTCTGGTCCTAACTCTGTGGACCTTTCGGTCCTAACTCTGTAAACTCTGAATCATACATAGCACAAATAACATAGAAATAATGCAGTGTATCACATCATATAAATAGCATACAAGATACTCTGTCACATAACTCTAATTACCACTCTTGGTAAAGTATAGTGAGAAGACTCACCTCGGATGAAGAACAGCTCCTATAGACACTGCTGCTACGCATCGGCCTCTAACTCTGTGCCAACCCAACAATTATCTTAGTTAGGAGCTAAGTCCAACCTTTCACTTATTAGGTCTAAAGATAGACCACCTACCAGCCCATCAATTCCCTAAACCTATTAAGCCCACCAAGGCCCAATAATAAATGGGTTTCCCCGAGGCCCAAACCTCAATCTACATGACAAGCCCAACACAAGGGCCCAAGGCTTAATTATAATATTCTCTACTCATAGTTTCAATTACACAAACCCAAAGATTCAGGCCCAATATCTAAGGCCCACAACAAAGTCTAGCCCAAAAGCCCATAGAGGGATTACGTAGGGCGTACCCCTTTGGTACGCTTAGCGTACTCAAGCACGCATGAAACTGATCGAGGACCTTAACCCTACATGCGAGGCGTACTGAAATTATGCTGTGTGTACGCTTAACTTTGCTAGATCTGCTTTTCTGGGTCTTAACCCATTAAGACCTTAACTCATCTCTTGGATCTAGACTCCATAGAAATCCTTACTCCATAAAGTCAGGGACTTTAAGCCTTTGCATGGCTGATGTGATAAAAAATGCACAAAATACTCATTCTCTTTACTCATTAAGCTCTCCACTCATGCATGAATTGATTCTAACCTCCAAGATCTCATTTTTATGAAACTACTCCATCAAAACATTCAAAAGGACGGATAATGGGGTTCTGGAGTTTAACAACTCACAAAGCTTCAAGCTTTGGGACCAAAAACCCTAAAATGGACCATACTAAGCATAAATCAAAAAGAATGGGAAAGCTTTGAGCTTTATACCTTCAAATGAT